CAATTTAGAAAGAAAAAAAAAATACCAAAATATTTTTCTGGCAAATTTAAATTTGCTAGTAGGGACATGTTCTGTACTCACCACTCCTCCGCCCACGGAGTGGACCAGCAAGACCTTGCCGGGCTGCAGGTTGCCCACATCGAACAGCAGCATGTAAGCCACGGCATAGTTGATGGCGATGGCGGAGGCGTCCAGGAAGCTCATGTCGGCGGGCAGGCGGTAGACGTACTTGGCGGGGACGGCGACCAGCTCGGCCCAGGCGCGGTACTCTGGCAGCGCCACCACCCTGTCGCCGACCTGCAGAGGACACAACACCACCACCACGTCAGGTCGGCCGGTCAAGAAGGAAACGACGAGAGAGGTCCCTGGACAGGACACACGTCATGTCGTCACGCACGCACCTTGAAGTCCTCCACGCCCTCGCCGACGGCCTCAATCTCGCCGGCGCACTCGAAGCCCAGGATGACGGGGGTCTTGGGCGGAGAGTCAATGGCGCCCACGCGCACCATCAAGTCCTGGAAGTTGAGTCCGCTGCAACAGAAAGGGGGACAAAAGCGTCAGCGCAACGAACGAACGGCACGATGGGCGTGGCGGGGCGAGGGAAGACCACGCACAAGAAGCGCAGCCCGCTCCGTCTCAGCCACGCCGCTGCACTGCTGCGCAGTCTTGCAGTTCACTTCGGTTCACTTTGCCGGGTCAATTTGAGGCAATATAAAGGAGACAGTGTCGTGCTTACATAACCGCACGCGCACAAAAGCGCACCTGTAAGTAATGACCCGGAGCGCAAGCCGAGAAAGCCGGGCCGAGAGCCGAGCAGCGGGTAACAACCTTTTTCTTGCCCCTCTCCACTCCCCTTCCCTCCTCCGCTGACCGCTTCAATGGCCGCCCCGCTATAGACGGGGCCCAAAGGCGCCAAAGCCGACCAACGAGTAGCGTAAAGTAGTGACCCGTGGTAAGCTTTTATTGTCATCGACTTTGCCTTCCGGTGACACAGGTGGCCCCCACCGTCCCCCTCCCCAAAGTGGGTGCGGTGTCATTCCAGTAGATAGACCAGCGGTTCCCAACCTCGGGGTCGCGACCCCATTTGGGGTCGCGAGAAGAAATTTTGGGGTCGCGGCGAGGGGCCGGGGGTCGCCTGGGGTCGCGATCAGGCTCCCACTGGACCTCACCGAAGGGGTCTTCCTGTGCGAAAATATGGAAAAACCACCGGTTGTTTGGCGCTTAGGAGCCAGTTTGAGTTGAGGTAGGCGCACAGCCGGTGGTTTTTCCATGTTTCCACAGGAAGGGGTCCAGCACCAGCCAGGCCGCGACCCCAGGTATACCTAGTAGACCCTTTAGCCGCGGGAGCACGCTAGACGGGAAACCTAGAGGGGTGTGAGTGAGTAGTATCCAGCGAAACACATTCTCTCGTAGCATCCTACTTTCTGCTGTATTATTATTTGATAAGTATTTCTCTAAGACATATTAGGAATGCAAACATCTGCAGTTTCAATGGGGAGGGATAATTTTTGTACCTTGGTAAGATGTGTCTTTGCTCACACCTTCATCAGATACACAGTTGTATTTGATTGAGATGTGCACAAAGACACAAAAATTGTCCCTAGCCATTTAGTGTGTGTGAGCTAACGACAAATTAAAAACCTATCAAAGGAACAACATTAAATTCTATCAAAATCAATGTTATTTTTGGTTTTTTAGGGGGGGTGGCTGGGGTCGCGTGGGGTCGCGATGTACACTCCATGGGGTCGCGAAAAAAATTAGGCCCTTTTTGGGGTCGCGAGCATGAAAAGGTTGGGAACCGCTGAGATAGACTCTACAAGTGTGGG